GTCCAGCAAATTCTATATATCATTCCTGAAATCAGAATTATAAATGAATATATAATAATTATTTATGACAAATTGCAAACTTGCATTGTTTTTAGAATTCTGTTTTCTGGTGTAATAAATAGAATTTGCTGATAAAATTATTTAAATTTTAATTTGTATATGATTTTGTGATTTAGTGTTGATTAGTTATTTAAATTATATAAATTTTTATAATTTGATGTTTAGAGTTTGGAACTGGTTTTATTTTTCTTATGTTAAATCTGATTAAAACTGGTTTTAATATAAGAAAAATAAAACCAGTTCCAAATACTAGTGATGTTAATTAGTGGTTGATTAGTTATTAATTTTTGATAGCTTGTCAACAAAGTGACAGAGTATTCATTATTGTAAGATCAGATGATTTTATTGCAAATTTGTTTTGTTTATGTTTTATTATAGATTAGTCTAATGTTTTTTATTAGAGTTTTTGTTAGATGCAGGCTTATGATGATGCTAGGTTTATGATTGTATATAATTAATTATTGTTTAAGTTTCTATGAATATTAGCAAAAGAGTAGTGATTATTAGGCCCAGGGGTTTGAGAAAAGGCATGTGCATGTGAATGGTAAGGGAAGGGAAGGGCATTATAAGAATAACAGTTTAAGAGATAATAGTCATCTTTTGTTTCATTATCAGTCACCTTAGGAAAGGCTGGCTCATTCATCCCATCTGCTTTCCCGAATAGTAAGTGGCTCAGTGGCTATGCACAGTGCAATGATTACAGAATTGGGCCTTAGTTTATTCTATGAGAATGGGACTCCACGGCTGCCTTAGCAGTGCAAAGACCTTCAATTGTTTTTGGCTCTGCAGCTATAATAACAGTGTAAGGATCATGAAAAAGTTTATAGCTACATGTAAAGAGATACATATCATTTAACAACTTGATTATCTTTTTAACTATGCAAATATTATTTATCATTCTGATAAGGTTGTTCAGCATTGTTTTGAAAAGGTAGTTTATTGAACAAGATAGTTGTTTGGTCTAAGGTGTTAGAATAATGCAGGAATGAGAGAAAATTTAGGGGTAGGGACTGTGATAGTTAGTTTGTTTGAGGTTGGCCATTAAGAAGTGCACAGGTTATCTCTTTGTAAAGATAGAAAAGGCATGATAGTGAACTTATTTCTATATGTTTTTTCTTTGAATAACAATAAAGTTTCTGATCGAGCAATATTAATATGTTCTGTTGATTAGTTGTCTAATAGAGTATATATGAATATGAGATTATGCATTAAGGTTTTTTTATTTTTGTCATATATTACAAATTGAAGTAGTTGTTTAATTTAAACTTGAATCACATTTAGAAAGAATAGAATTGCTACTGGATATAATGTATAATAAATTATTTCCTCATTTTTGGGTTTACTTTAATTTATCAGTTGGATTTAAAATATTTTTAATTCAGAAAAATATTTATTTTCATTAAATTTCAATTATTTATTTTTTTTTCTTATAAATTGTAAATCTATGTTATTTAAATATTTTAAAGCTAATACTAATAAACTAATTAAATATGACAAGTTGTCATAAATTAATGATTATTATTTTGTCTTCAAGAATAAAGCACAGTAATTGTGGCACTCTTCATATATTAGCATATACAATAAATACAGTAATCTTGACAATGTTCATTTGTTAGTAATCGTGATGATGTTTATTTATTTATACATATAATAATTGGTTAGTATAAACAAATAATTTTGTTTATTAATGGCATCAATACATAATTTAAAAGACATGCAATAAATTTTAAGAAATACAAGAATATTAATATCACAGAGTAAATTGCCAAGAAGTATTTATTTTTAAAATAAAATAATATGAAAATTTTCATTAATTGACATATAGCATAATTTATTAATAATATTTCATGATCTATTTTATTAATAAAACATATAAAAAGACAAAATATGTTTTTAAAATGAAAATAACAGTAAACTTTGTTAACAAAATAATGTATACTAAATATGATAACAATATAATAGTTTTTAATCAACAAAAGATACTTTTCAATTTTTAGTATATCTATAATCTGTGACAGATTAAGCCACTAATTTCAATCCTTGTCTGATTATATTTCCAGAATAAGACTTGACTATTATAAACTATTAAAAAAAAACATAAATTTAAAAGTTGTCTTTGGATATTAACAAATATTATAGTTACTTTTTAAGCAAAACAAACAATATGTTATTTCTTTAATTATACTATTATTCAACATATTACTTACTTAAGAGATACTTTTTTTACTCAATTCTATTTAGAGATAGACAAAATGCAGCATTTTGAGCATGCGATGCACATTATATAAAAATGCATATAATAAGCATGATGTGCATGATGCATGTAATTAATATTAATAAAATTTCAATAAAAATAAATTCATTTACAAAATTTGATCGATATAAAATTTAATTAATAAATAAAACTGATTGATACAAAATTTAATTAATAAAACTAATTGATACAAAATTTAATTAATAAAACTGATCAATGCAAAAAAAAATCTTTAACTATTTAATACTTTATTTATACTAATATTTTTTGTATATAACAATAATTCATCATGCATTAAGAACATATAATATTTGTATTTTATATATTAATTGCAAATAATACTATACATGTTCACTCTCTGTACTATCTGTTTCACTATTAGTTTTTTTAGCATCTAATTTAAACAATTCTTTACTTTCATTTTCTAACAATATTTCTTTATATAAATCACTTGAATCATCTTTCATTAGATCTAATAGCTCAATATCTTTTCTATTTTTTGTTAGTCTATTATTAAATCATATTATTACATTTATCATATTAGAAGACTCTTGTCGTGAACAAGTAAGTTTATAGTTGCTATATATATATACTAATTTTAAAATCTGTTCATTAGTTAATCTAGCTCTTTTTTTTTCTTGAATGTAGTAAAAAGCTGACCAATTATGTTCTGATGCTGCTAATGATGAAGGAATTGCAAGAATTTGAGTAGCAACTTTACATAATTCAGGTGCTAAGGTTTCAAAGTTACCTTTTTACCAAGCAATAGAATTAATATCATTAACCATATTCTATGCTAATTAAAAGTTAAATATACCTACCTCTGTTTTGTATTTAATTAATTGTTGCCAAATAATATTTGCATTGTCTGAGTAATATTTTTGAACAAATTGTGTGATTATTAACATACTATTAGTAGTAAGCTTTTGATCATAATATTGTGGATCTAAAAGATGTACTAATGCAATAACAGGATGATAAATTTTTTTTCATAAACTTTCAAATAAAACTTTAATTTGGCTGTTTATTTCTAAAAAAATTATATTAACTTTATTAAAACTTAATTATTAAGTATAAT